CCACCCCAGCTTTGACCTGCTGGGCTCTGGCGATCCTTCCACCTCAGCTTCCAAGTAGCTGGAACTACAGGCACGTGCCACCACACCTGGCTAATTTTTTTGATTTATTGTAGAAACAAGATCTCACCAAGTTGCCCGGACTGGTCCCAAACCCGCGGGTTCAGGCAATCTACTTGTCTCAGCCTCCTAAGTGTAAGTGCTAGGATTACAGGCAGAGCCACTGAGCCTGGCCGCGTTTTTTTTTTTTTCTCTTCAATGGGAGTCTCACTCTGTCATCCAGGCTGGAGTGCAGTGGCACACTCATGGCCACCACAGCCTCAACCTGCTGGGCTCAGGTGATCATTCCACCTCAGCCTTCCAAGTAGCTGGAACTATAGGCGCATGCTTTGTATAGCATTTTTTAGTGGTTCTCTAAGTGTTACGCTTTATACATATACCTTATTAGCCTATTGGTTACTTTATTTTTCTAATTCAAGTGAAGGGTAGAAACCTTACTGCACTTGATATCTCTTTACCCTCCCCATTTATAATTGTCTTAAATATTTCCTCTATATACATTTAGAATCACAACAGACAGTGGTATAATTTTTGCTTCAACTGTCAAACATAATTTGGAAAACCCAATAGAAAGAAAGCAACTTAGCCGGGTTTGGTGGCTCAACCTGTAATCTCAGCGCTTTGGGAGGCTGAGGTGAATGGATTGCCTGAGCCCACGGGTTCGAGACCCGCCTGGGCAACTTGGTGAGACCTCATCTCTACAATAAATCAAAAATTAGCCGGGCATGGTAGCACGCGCCTGTCGTTCCAGCAACTTGGAAGGCTGAGGCGGAAGGATCGCCAGAGCCCAGCAGGTCAAGGCTGTGGTGACCGGGAGCAGCCACTGCACTCCAGTCTTGGGAACAGAATGAGACTCCAACTCAAAAAAAAAAAAAAAGAAAGAAAGACAAAAAGGAACTTCATCTATCCACATTTTTGTTTATCATATTTTCTTCCTTCCTGACATTCCACAATTTCTTCTTTTATCATTTCCCTTCTTTTAGTCATTCTTTTAGAGTATGCCTGCAGATTACAGTGTTATTTCATCTGAGAATGTCTTATTCTCCCTCCATTCTTGAAGGATATTTTCCCTGGGTATAAGATTTTAGGTTAATAGTGCTTTTCTCTCAGCACTTGAAAAATACCACTTACTCTGCCCCCCCATGGTTTCTGATGAGAAACCCACTGTCATTCCAATTGCCTTTCCCCAATAAGTAGCTTGTCATTTTTCTCTGACTGCTCTCAAGACATTTTTCTCTGTGATCAGTTTTTGGAAGTTTAATTATGATGTGTCTTGGCATGGACTGCTTCGGGTTAATCCTGTTGAAGTTTGCTCAGTTTCTTTTTTTTTAGTCGGGGTTTCACTCTGTCACCTAGGATGGAGTGCAGTGGCACAATCACGGCTCACTGCAGCCTTGACCTTCTGGGCTCAGGTTATCACCTTATAACTCAAGCCTCTGACTACAAGTTGTGTGCCACCACACCCAGCTAATATCTTCTTGCTTCAGCCTCCCAAAGTGCTGGGATTATAGATGTAAGCCACCATACCCAGCCTGCACAGTTTCTTGAATCTATCAGTTTTCTTAAGAGTCTAACGTATGTGCATTTCAGTCTCCAAAATCTTGCCTCCTGTAGCTGTGTCTTACAGTGTAGAAGCTTGGGACCCTGATCGCTTCCTTGCCTATGTACCAGGGCAGATTCCAAACCTTTTCCTGAGGGCATTCCCTTCTTCCCCTTCTGGGCAAAGGTGGCATCTATGTATGCATGTGTTCTTGTTAGGCATCTCATCTCTTCTGGAGGATTTTTGTAGTCCCCTCACTCAGCTGACTGTTAAGGCAGATGACACCATACTCCACCAGCAATTCAGAGAAGTCTTTTTCAGAGGACAGAACTTCAAACTCATCACAAAATGATGCCTATCAAAAGCATATCTGAGGAAAATCCTGATGAAAGGATGACTTGAAGAACACACAGTTCATCCATGCTACTCAAGTAACGCTACTTCATATTTTTAAATCCCTTCATGACAAAAACACTCAAGCCCACTTTTAAAATCATTTGAAATTTCAAAGTAAATTAGGTATGTCTCAAAACAGCAAGTTAATAGCAATGCTGGCATAGTCTCTTAACCACCAGTTAAAAAATCAGGGGCCAGGCATGGTAGCTCACACCTACAATCCCAACACTTTGGGAGGCCAACGCAGATGGACTGCCTGAGCCCAGGAGTTTGAGATCAGCCTGGGCAACACAGTGAGACCTCATCTCTACAAAAAATAAAAAAATTAGCCAGGTGTAGTGGTATGTGCCTATAGTCCCAGCTACATGGGAGGTGGGAGGATTGCCTGAGTCCAGGAGGTTGAAGCTGCAGTGAGCTGTGATCAGGCCACCGCACTCCAGCCTAGGTGACAGAGTGAGACTCCAACTCAAAAAAAAAAAAAAAAAAAAAAATCACGGCCTTTGCACATTCCAAATATCACCCAGGGCTGAAGAAGAGTTCACAGAAAAACACTATTTTGGTTCTCCACCTGTTTAGGCTTTATATTACATTATATTCAGTGGAGAGCATATTTTACATGAACCTCTGTGAGGAACAGCCCTGTGAAACTCACAGTGGAGCTTGTGGACGATGCTGATCTGCATTACATTATACCGTGTCCTCTTCATGAAAGCTGCGGGGAAAGGTTCTTTCGAAAATAAGCTCTCTGTGTTGATTCTGCTGCTTCTGAGCCACAGGCTACTGTTAATCTTGGCCACCCCGAGAACTGTGGAAGCTGTCTCCATGCCTTGCTCTGCTAATTCTAAAAGGCCAAGGCCACGCCCATCTCCCAGCAACATTCACCAGATGAAATCTGAGTAACCAGAGTCCTGGTTGCCTCTTGTACTGCCTAGCTTCACTTTCCCCTTTACCCAGTTCTTCCTAACCTCACCTTTGTCACTGGCTTTAGTCTTCTATACCCAGTGTCCTTATGTAAGCTGCCTTACATTCCTTCTGGAATGGGGTGGGGGTATAAAGAAATAGGAACTGTCTATGTGTTGTTGAAAGGAAAGCAATAAGACATATGTACTGATTCAATTTGAACAACTAAGTTTCAGTGTTGGGTCAGACTCCATACTAAGACCTACAAGAAAAGCGGCAATAAAAAGCAAGGTCCCTAGCTACAAAGGGTTGAAATAGAGTGGGAGGGAGAGGAATTAATAAATATGTGAGCTAGCCAAGATCAACAGGGAACTCAGCAGAGCCAGGCACTGTACAGCACTGTTGATGGCCTGGTATCCATGGGCTGGCCTGTCCACCCCTGCCCCCATCTACACTCAATACAACTTCCTGGAGTCTCTCGTCAGTGTCCTCCCTCCCCCAAGTCTCCCTCACCAATATCCCCCCCTGTCACTAGCTAACCTGCAGGCCCTGGAGAACAGACACCTAGTACTCAGGCCTTATTCCCAGAGCTGGACAGAAGCCCTTAGACTGAGGCCTAGCACACCAGGTGCTTAGAGATGACCAAAGGAAAGCAGACTAGTCCTTCCAGAAAGCTCAAGGCAGCCACATATTAACAATCACTCATGCACTCCTCCCTCAGGAAATCCCCTCTGGGAGAAAAATACTGTAAGCAAGTTTTTTATCTACCGTGAAGCCACCTATATACAGCAGGTGGAGCTTTAGCAAACGAAGGCACCTCAACTCAACAGAAAATGCTGCTGCACCATTTATGAAGACTAAAGAAATCAGCAAGATAATTATGATAAGCAAATAAAAATAAGACGATACTTGTATGTAACAACAACTATGCTAAATAAGTATGCATATGGAAATGACTAAGAGGGAAAAGGCAAAACTGAACATATTAATAGGGTGGTGAGATTCTGGTGATTTTAAACTTTTATTCATTTAAAAGCAAGGCCAGGCGCAGTGGCTCACACCTATAGTCTCAGCACTTTGGAAGGCAGAGGCAAAAGGATTGCCTGAACCCAGGGGTTCGAGACCAGTCTGGGCAACTTGGCGAGATCTGGTCTCTACAATAAATCAAAAAATGAGTTGAACATGTTGTACTTGGAAGGCTGAGGAGGAAAGACTGCCTGAGCCCAGCAGGTTGAGGCTGTGGTACCATGACTGTGCCGTTGCACTCGAGCCTGGGTGACAGAGTGAGACTCTGGCTCCAAAAAAAAGGGGATACAGCTGGGTATAGTGGCTTGTGCCTGTAATGCCAGCTACTCAGGAGGTAGAGGCAGGAGGATCACATGAGCCTAGGAATTCGAGTCCAGCCTGGACAACATAGTGAGACCTCACTCTAAAATAAAATAAAAAAGACATTTACTGCTCTTTGTCTGAATATATTCATTATAAAAGTTCTAACAACACAGGAAAAAAATAAAAAAGAAAATAAACATATGCATAATCCTTCTTTCCAGATGGGATAAGCACTCTTACCACCATGGGGCATGTATCCTTCTAACTCTGTCTATATTAGTACAAAGAGAGAGTTATGTTCAGACTCTGAATGCCTGGGAAGAGTAGAAAGGGATGGCATCTGACCAGAACTTACAGGTAAGGATGTCCAAAGGGAAGACAGGTGAGGGTGAGAGCAGAGGCACCAGCGCGCACATGCTGTGCCTCCAGACAGGATGAAGGTGGCAGCCGGGGCTGAAGGGCAGGTGTGAGCAGGGCCAGGCAGCTGAACCGGATCTGAATGGCATTGTCACCATCATCCACGCCATGTGAACCGGTGGCCTGCCACGCCAGGCCCCTTCAGCCACCACTCTCATGGGGAACAAAGGAACCTGAAGCTCACACATGCAGCCCATGGCAGACCAGGAATGAACCCAGAGTCCACCCTCCAAAACCACGCCATGATGTCCTGAACATCAGGTCTAGAACACACCCCACAGGCAACTGGCAGGAAAGGGGACTGTTCACACATGACACACTGGGGCCAGGCTGGGGCCAGCAGAACCTGACTGCTGATTACCATTCATGTTCCAGGTGAAGGCATCCCGCAGCTTCTGTCCATCAATTTCCATATCCAGTCGGATGGGGACCAGCACCTCAGGCTGGGATGCATTCTCATGGATCACAGCTGGGTCGTGGTCATCAAAGCTGAAAGTGAAATGGCAGCACCTGTCAGTGAGGATGCCAAGGCTCAAGGGAGGCAAGCTTTCAGCCTCCCTCTGTACCTGGGTCACCGTGAACCTGGCTGTAGGGAAAGGCCCCTTGTCAACTAATACCTGAGGTAGCATAGATGAGGCCAGCCATGGCCTAATAGGGGCAGGAGGGGCCACAAGTGACCAGCATATCAGATTGTCTGTGGCACATGCTGCAATAGGGCAGAACTGTGCATTTCATGGATGCACAGGGAAGGGATGAGAAGCTGCGGGCCTGGGCAGCATTGGAACAAGACCTAGATGTATCGTGAAGGGAATTTAGGCCTGAAAGTAGGCAGGACTTTCACAGAAAGCTGTGGGAAAGGAAATATTCCAGTAAAATTGGGAGGCAAGGGAATGGAGGAAGAGACCATGGAAGGTGGGCACAGATATATGGAAGCAGTTGTAGGGATGCTGTGACAAGAGGGGGTGTCAAAGCACCTCTAGTTCTCCTCTCAGTCTGCAGAACCAGGCCTCTGACCTGAGGGAGTCCCAGGAGGATTCTGATAAGACAGTTCAGTATTTTGGGAAGACAAAGAGGGAAGAGACAGATAGGCAGCCCAGTGAAGGAGGTTAGAGGGCAGAGAAATCCCAGGGGTGTCTGGAGCATGGGGAAAGCTGGGAAGTGCCCTCCAAGAGCTTGGGAGGCACATGACAGACAAGCAGGGAAATAGGACAGGAAAAGGTGCAGGGATGCTGGAGACAAGAGTGGTCATTCTAAAGGGCAGGTGACATTCAAACAGGGAGGGAGAAAGGAAGGAAAGAAAAAAGAGGAGAGGGTGGTAGGGAGGAAAGGAGCAATGAAGGAAGGAGTTAAGGAGGAAAGGAAAGAGGGAGGAGGGGGAACGAGGTGAGTCTCAGCAGAGGAAACTGCAGGGGCAGGGCAGGAGCTCTGGGCAGTGTGTCAGCTGTGAGGAGGCCCATGTGCCCAAGGCAGGGTGAGTGGGGCAAAGTGTGGTGGCCACACCAGGCCAGTAGCCCCCGTGAGAACCCTGAGAGCCCTGGCTTTTGCCAGGGAGAGTGAGGGCTTCTGCCGAGCAGTATGAGAGAAGTCTAGAGGACTCTGAGTAGAGGAGTAACGTGACATGCTTGAAGTGAAGAGGCCCATGCTGGCTGAGAACGCAGTAGGGCAGGGGGCAGGGGCTGCTGAACACCTGGGAAGAGCTGTGGGGAGGTGGCTCCAAGTAGGAACTTATTGAGATTGTGGTGTGAGAAAAAAAAAAGGCGCTGGGAAGTTCTGGCTTGCCTGAGCAAGAGAATGCTGGATTGCCAGGCCCCAAGACAGAGAAGTTTATGGGCAGCACAAGGCTGAGGACGCAAGGGCAGCGAAGGAGGGCTGGGCCACAGAGATGAATGTGGGGTGGGAATTTGAAAAATGGCCCCAAAAGACCTGTGACTGTTACCTCATATGGCCAAAAAGAGGGACTTCACAGATGTGATGAAGTGAAAAACCCTTAGGGATTATCCAGGTGGGCCCTAAATTACATCACAAATGGCCTAAGACAGAGACAGAGGAAGAGTTCACACACACAGAGAAGGCCACGGAGAGACACTAGAATGATGTGACCACAAGCTAAGGAACATGGCAGCCACCAGAGCAAGAAGAGGCAAGGCCCAGGATGCCCGAAAGTCTCTGGAGGTAATGCAGTCCTGCCTATACCCGACTTCAGTCTAGTGAAACTGCAATTGGGCTCCTATCTCCACAACTGTAAAAGCAGAAATCTGTGCTGCTTCAAGCCACCCAGACTGTGGTGGTTTGCTTCAGGAGACATAAGAAAATGGTACTGCGGGAGTCACATAGATGGCATTTGAAACTATTGGTCTGCCTATGGGAAACTGAGGGCAGAGAAAGGCCTCAGGACTACCCCCAGGAACTTGACTTGGGGTGCTGGGAAGCAAGGAGGATATGGCAAGAGACAATGGCAGGCAGAGCCAGGCAGGCTGCAGAAAGCCAGAGACAGCATCCTGCAAGTCAGGGAAATACAGAAGTTTAAGAAGAAGGTGACAGTGAAGAGTTTTAGTGAATGCAAGGTCAAGGCAGAGTCGTTCTGGGAAAAGACTAAAACATATTGGAAAATTGAGATGGGATCAGCACAGGGGTAAGGGCAGTGACGTATCACACCAGAGGGGGAAGGTTCTCTTCTTGTCCCGGCCCATGCGGTTCCTGTTGATGGTGGTGGAACATGGCACAGCGTCCAGGTGGTGGGAGCTGTTGGGAAGCGTGGGTACCCACTGGCTGTTCCTCTTGGCCTTCTGTTCCCTGGGGAGATAGGAAAAGCACCCCTAGTCAGTCTAAGGGCCCGGTCCTGCCCACCAGGAATCAACTTATACTTAGAAGACACCCAGTGTACCCCTGCCAGGCTCCAGGCTCTCAAAGGAGTCATCTGTGTCCCTCTGGTGCTGCATGGTTCTGCTCCCCAGGCTTTCACTGACACCTAGGTGAAAGATAAGGGCAAGGGTGCAAAAGGGTGCCAGATACAGCCCAGGGCACACATGGGCTGCCCCTACAGAAGCATATCCCTGATTCAGGGAAGGGTCACAAGATGGAGGCTTCCCAAAAGAGCAGACACCAGAGCGGAGCCTTAAACACTGAGGCGGGGTTCACTGGCAGGTGAAGCATGGGCAGTTGCTAGGAGGAGGCTCCTGGGGAGGGGCTGAGGCTATAGACAGAGTCTCATGCACTCTATCAGTAAGTGACTTTACTTGGCAGGTGGCTGGGAGTTCCCAAGGTCAAGGCTGAAGGGAGAGATGTGCTCAGGCTGTGATTGTAGATGTGCTGGCCATCCTGAGATGGTCCAGGCAAGGCTTCTGGCCTCTGAGCTTCCAGGGCAGTAGAGAGGAAAAGGTAGATCATAAATACCTTCCAGAAAGTGAAACCCAAAGTAATTTAAATAACTCATGTTCATGAAAGTCTCCCTCTTTTCTCCAAATTCTAGGTTACTTTTTATTAGGAAAATACCAAAAGCTAATTTAATCTGAGGCTCCAGGGCTGGGTCAGACAGATGAGAGCAGCTGGGTTCCCACTGTGCTCTGTGGGTTCTTGCTATCCCTGATGAGACCATGAGCAGGCGAGGGCAGCAGCTGTGTGTCACTCTCCTGTGTAGCCTCAACACCTGCACAAAGATTCATGCTACAGTTGTTTGTGACAGTTCCCAGCAAATGATGACAAGTGTTTGACAGCGCCCTCTAAGAAGGGACCCGGGAAGGCACCACCCAGGCCCGTCTTTCCACAGGGTACAGGCAGTGGCCGAGACCTACCTTTAACTCTTTTCCCTTCTAAAGTTGGGGTAATGTGTACCTCCAATGCTGAGGTCCTAGACCATCCCTTGATTGCAGGTGGGGCCAGGGAGGCAATTATGGTACCCAGTGTGGCCAGGACTGGAGCAAGTCTCCTATACTGCAGGCCTTGTCCTGATCTAATAATTGGCTTTCACTTTATGCCCCAAACCTGGCAAAATGAGGAATGTAGAACCAATCTGGGAGGGACTAACAGTCAGAACAGCAGGATCAGGGTCCCACTAAAGCCTATCTGGGCCATGACTCCTAATCCTGACCACAGAGACTCAGAGTTCAAAATTTTAAGCAGTAAATTCCTGAGATCCACTCAGATTGACTGACTCCCCATCTCTGGGGTAGGGCCCAGGAATACAGATTCTTTGCAACTTCCATGGGTGATTTCCATGCAGCTGAGCCTGCATTTGGAAACCACAATCTCAACCACCTTCTTTCTGACTGGACATCCTAGAGTCTGTGCTGAGCCCTTCCCCAGTACCCAGATCCCACTCTATCTCAGTAGCGATCTGTCTCTCATTTCCAGGTCTGGTAGCCACCTCTGGCGGATAATGCAAGTGTCACCACAGACACAGTGAATGTGAGGAACACACTCAGACATACACAGAATCTGGGAATCTGAGTAACAAAATTCAACCTTCTTCCCTCTGTGTAAGACTTTCCCAATAGTCCTGAGGGGGGCCACCTAGCCTCTGCCCAAACTGTCCAGCGACAGCATGAGAAGGGTACCAGTCCCTTGGGTGGGCGACTGAGCAATGTGGAACCAGCCAAACCACTTTCCTTCAACCTCTGTAGACCTGACCTCCAGGGTAACAGGATTCGACTGTCTCAGCTGTTCCTCACATGACACGATCATCAAGAAACTGTTTATCGCCCCATAAAAGGCTCCCTGCTGACGTGTGCAGAATTAAAGTGCTGTTCATATGTACATGATTTCCTCCTGTGCCTTCCCTGAGAAGGTCTGGCCATCCTTATGGTCTTCCCACATCCCCTGGGGGAAAAAGAATCTGCAGTGCACACATCTATGACACTGGCCAGGCTGGAGGCCTGCCACCTTTCTCGGAGGAATCGAAAAAAAACAACCCAAAAGTAAAGTTGAGAGAAATCTGGAAAGAAATGATTTTTCACAACCACATACATCATTCTAAACAATAATTCTTTCTCCCTTCACCCTTAGTGCTCCCTGGTTTTCGTGCAGAGAAATGCATATTGTCTTGAGCTGAAAGCGTAAGATCTTGTATCTGTGCAATTCACCCATGTGAGCCAGTCTCGGGGCACTGCGGGATTGATATAATCACAAGAAGCAAAGGTTACATCCTAGTCCCTTCAAGTGGTCGTACTGGCACTCACCTGGCTTTCCCTAAGGCTAGGTACTCTAGTGACTCCATGTTCTCCAGTAATACTCACAATGCCATGAAGAACAGTGAGTGTATTCATTCATTTCATTATTTTAAATTATTTCTTTGGGAGATATTTCCAGGGATGAAATGAATGAGCTAGAGAACAAAAAGATGTGTGAATGCCATAATGCTTTACAAAAGAGCACCCTTAGCATGCATGAGTGTGCAGTTCTATTATCTCACACTGTTCCAAATTCTTTATGTTGCTAGTTTTTTTTACTTTGAATTTTTATTTTTTAATCTTATTTGCTTAATTTTTTTGAGTCAGAGTCTCTATTGCCCAGAATGGAGTACAGTGGCATGATTACAACTGACTGTAGCCTCAACCTCCTGGGCTCAGGCAATCCTCCCATCTCAGTCTCCTGAGTAGCTGGGACTAGTGGTGCCACAGTGTTTGGCTAATTTTTAAATTTTTTGTAAAGATGGAATCTTGCTATGTTGCCTGGTCTCAAATTCCTGGGCTGAAGTGATCTTTCTGCTTTAGTCTCCCAAAGTGCTGGGATTATAGGTATGAGCTACCACACCTGACCTTTACTTTGAATTTCTTAAATTACACATGAGGGCTGGGCATGATGGCTCACACCAGTTATCCCAGCACTTTGGGAGGCCGAGGCAGGGGGATTGCTTGAGTTCAGGAGCTCAAGGCTAGCCTGGACAGTATAGCAAGACTCTGTCTCTACAAAAAAAATTTTTAAATAGAAAAGAAAGAAAGGGCAGGGGGAGAGAGAGGGGGAGAGGGGGAGGGGGAGAAAGAGAGAGAGAGAGAACACACCCTGGCCATGAGCATATCACCTGAGGTAGGTGGGGGGCTCTGTGCTGATGGACACAGCCTTGTACTTCTCATCATTGCCATCCAGAATCTCCTCCACCTCTGACGCCTTCAACAGAGTCACACTGGTGGCTAGAGTTGTATATCCATGATCTGTAAGCAGAGAGGTACTGCTGGGTCACTCTGCTGGTGGGGGCAGCATGAAGCAGCCAGCCAAGTAGACACAGCACATCGAGGTCCTCACATGCAGGAGGTGGGAAAAGCAAGGTGTCAAACTTCCTACAGATGAATGCTGGCCTCTTCCAAAAGGGCAATCTGGACTGAATGTTTGCTTTAGAAGTCCTGGAAAAGTCTCCAGTGAGACTGATTTGGACTCATGTGCCCCAAGAGTACTGGTTTGGGAGCAGAGAAAGTGCTCATGACAGCAGCAGCCAGAGCCCAGTCAGCAGAGACTTGACTCCAGAACATATTCTTGGTCCTTACTCAGAGAAAAAGGAAGGCTCCAGAATAATACCCCAGTGGGAAGAGGTCTGACACCACCACAATCTACAATACAATGCAAGGTGGGGAGATGGAATGGAAGATGGATACTTTTCTTTTAAAACAAGAGCCCAGAGAAGGAGACAGAGCTGCTTCACACCAACCATAACCTCCCATCCCCAAGTCAGGCCCAGGATGCTATTGGGCAAGTAGGACAGACTCCAGGCAACTTGACCCTGAGCTCATCCAGGGAACTTTGGTCAAGAGCTGCTGCCGGTCTGTGGGCACAGCCTGGCTTCTCCTGGAGAAATCAATCACATATGGGAAAGGTATCTCCAAAGTACAGGGTGGAAGCTTTCATCCAGGGAATTGCAAGGGGAAAGCAAAGCTGGGGGGATTCACTGTGTTAGTGACTGGTGCTCCACTGGGGAGGAGGGGACAGAAAGGAAACTGTTTTAAGCAAGTGAGTGAAAATGTTACAGCAGCGGATAAAAAAGAAGCTCCGGCTCCTGCATTAAAAGAATCACTACTTTCCTGCAGGGGAGAAGACCACAGCAGCATCTACAGACACAACCAAAGAGGACAGACTATGAAGCACCACTCGTGCACATACAGGCACACACACACACACCCAGGCCCAGAGCAGCTCTCTACAAGGTGTCACTGTCACGTGAAAAGCAGTTTCGCCCTTGTCAAGGGGCACGCCATACCCACATGTCCCGTGGGAGCACTTCCCAACAGAGACCTGGGGTGTCTGAAGCACATCCTTCACCCTGCACAGAGCTGCCACAGCCAGAGCCACTGGTCTCACTAGCGTTGGGCAGCTCACCTAGCGAACCCAGACACACGCAGGCACGACGAGCAGGGACATGCACATGAGTTCTAGCACACTGGCTGCCAGGATGAAGTGCTACAGATGATGTGCACTGGGAAGCAAGCGGTGAAAGCCCCAGAGGGGAGTGGGAGCTGGGGCCGCCACCCACCACTAGGGCTGCATGGAGGATGACTATGGCGACACGCCCACGGCAGATGGCAGAGCATCGCAGCATTCCTAAAACGTTTTGAGACCAACATGTCTTCACAGCACCCGCTCCTGTCCTGGCCCTGTCCCCTCACGCACCCACCGGCCCCCCAGGAAATACCTGACAACGGACCACTACAGGCTCCCAGGGGCTGTTTTCTTGCCTGGCGTGCACACCCTGAGGCTACCTGCCCCTCTACGGCCAATGCTGCAGTGAAGACACTCTGGAGTGAAAACGTTTTATCTTCATGACATAAGCGAGTGGTTTTGAAACAGGTTTACAAACCCTCGTGAAGACGCACCCTTAGTGTTAGGTTTTGTTTTTTTACCATGTGACGATGCAACTATTTTCTTCCTCTCTTCCACAGTGGCTAGTCGCCTCCAGAGTGAGGGGTATCTCTTGTATAGAGAACCTCGGAACATACGGAGGTAGTTTCCCACCTATGAGTAAAGCAAGAAGGCTCATTACAAGGGTCACGGCTCAACATGGAAGGGGAGGGACCTGGTGCCGAGGCACCACGGGATGGAGGGATGGACAAACAGGCCTCAAGGTGGCCCCCAGGCGCCAAGCTTTCGGCAGGAATAAAACACATTCTGCTGATATTGAGAGTTCAGCAGCAGTGCACATCTGGCCCACATGTGTGCATCCTACAACAGGACAACTTCCGAGAGGCCTGGCCAGACGCCCAAGAAGGAGGCCCCAGAGCTTGGCAAGAAGCTTGTGGTGATTTTGATTTTGGACTAAGGATTTCTGGCACTTTCCAGAAATGTAAAGCCTCCTTGGCCTTCTTTTATCTTAAGAACAAGACTTTGATATTTTTACGATGCAATAAACACGAAAAAGGTCTTTAATTTCAGACAGATGCCAGATAATTTCCCCCATGGCCTGTGTTGCTTTGTTTAGTAACAAAACTCAAACGAGGGATACCAAAGGAATTTTCAAAAGGGCTTACAAAGCACTTATTGGAAATCACCAGACTGCTATACAAATCGTTACTGTCCCAAACAATAGTTTGTTTGCTTATACCAAATACCGAAAGTATGACTTCCTTAAGGAAAATAAATCTAGTCCTAAAGTTTTTGTAAGGACACCCTCACTGACTTTTCCAAAATGAGCTCTTCAGAGTCACATTGCAGAGGATGGCTGATGGATAGGGTGCCAGGGCTGGCTCCATCTGTAACCTGGTCGCTTCCTTTTTTCTGGGTCTCTACTTATCAGTCAAATGCACAGCAACTCTGAACCTTGTCCCGTGAAGGACCACTCCTACTATTTTTCTCATCTTATCTACAAAGCATAATATATTTATTATATCAAAATGTTTATCTACTTTTCATTAATAAAAGACTTGTATGATCAACAACCAGAGCTCTTGACTACTGTGAGAGAAGAGGAGCTCCAGAAAATCACTCACGTTCCACACGGCACAGTCCCTTTGGTATTATTTGGTTTGGATGTCATTATCATCTGAGGGTAAATGTAGTTTCATTAGATTTTTCAAAAGAAACTGACAATCCTGTCCCCCATGACTACCTGGCAGGCTCTGCAAAGGTCTGAGACTCCTAGATCCCTCCTAAGTCCCCCTCACAACTTAGAAGACTGGGGCTTGCCTTCCTGGCTTTTCCCTGAACCATCTTCCCTTCTCTGGGCCCAGGTTTCCTGATTTGTTAGAGTCCTCTCAACTTTGTGACTCTGGCTGGGAGAGTACAGCTGACTGCAGATGGCAAAAAAACAGTGACACACACTCTTGGGAAGTACAGGTGCCCTCTTAAGGCAGTTTTAGAGGATGTCACTCGGATGTACTGCGTATATTGCGATAGCTGGCCCACCTCCCTGAATACAGTGCATGTTTCCCACAGGGAAGGGGGCTGGGGTCATCCATTCAATACCATCACAGGAGCTAATGGATATTGATAGACAGTATTCTGATCTTGAACCCTTCCCCAAACTCCAAAGTTCTGATGATTGTTAAGTCAAGCCCAAGAGAACAGACTGCCTGTCCATCTGAGATTCTACAGATTACAGATTTCAGGATAAAGCCTCTCACGCCACAGACAGACCAGGAGTGACAGGGCTGAAGAACAACATTGTAATTAGCTTTATAGAAACTAAATGTGAAGATCTTAGAGATCATCTAGTCCAAACATTGCATTATACACATGAAAGTGACACGGAGGCAGAGCAGGGTTGGAACCAGGCTTCCCAAGTTTCTTTCCTCCTTGCCACGTGACACTTCTCAATTTGCTCCACCTACTCAATGAATGCTTTCTTTTCAAAAGTGCCACCCACTCAGGGTCAAGGCTAAACTGATTACTTTTCCACCCATTATATCAGGTAGAAGTCTCTTTAAACAACCTGCCCAATATCACATACTGAAACCGAACTGACTTCTGCATCCTGCAGTTTGGCAGGTGCCTACTGGCTGATATGGACCATTCTAAGCTGCAACAGATGGACGGGCACTGGCTCCATCTCCCCAGCACAGCCATCTTTGAACAGCAGCATTTAAGTAATAATGTGGAAAATTCATTGCATCCTGTCCTTTTTATTCTTATAAAAATTGGTGGAGCCGGGTTCGGTGGCTCAGCCTGTAATTCCGCGCCTTTGGGAGGCTGAGGTGAGTGGATTGCCTGAGCCCGCGGGTTCGAGACCCGCCTGGGCAGCAAGACCTCATCTCTACAATAAATCAAAAAATCAGCCGGTGTGATAGCGCGTGCCTGTAATTCCGGCTACTGGAAG